CCCATCCCATCCCATCCCATCCCATCCCATCCCATCCCATCCCATCCCATCCCATTCCTTGACCCCAGAATCCCAAAATCCCTCCCCTGGAGGGTCACCAGGGTCAGGAGGTGGCTGATGGACAACCCCCCGCTCTGAGCTGACAGGGATTTCTCCAGGGTTATCCCGTGGGCTGGTGGCAGAGGAAAGACCAGATGTGGGATTATTCCCCTTCCTCAGGGCTTTCCTTCTTGCTCCTCACGGAGGATTAATTAATTAACTTAATTAACGACTTAATTAATGAGCTGATCTCGTTCCATTGAAGGGAGAACCTGGACCACCAGGCAGAGGAGTGGAAATGAAGGTAAATGAACCCCAAAATTATAGAAACACTTCCCTGTTTGGGGTCGAGGTGGCAGAGGGGACCCAGTGCCCCCAGGACACCCCCAGAACCCCCTGCCTGGTCTGAAGAGGAGAGAGGGAGAACTTCTGACCCTTCTTTCCCCTTCCAGGACCTGGAGAGGCTCTTGGAAGGCCACGGGATCAAGGTGGGTGATGCTTTGACCCTCCTGCCGAGGGGATTGGAACTGAGATTTTCCATCTGGACATGCCGTGGGGACACTCCCAGGGATCCAGGGGCAGCCACAGCTTCACTGGGAAATCCAGTCCAGCCCCTCCCCACGCTCCCAGCTCGAAATCCCTTCCCAAAATCCCACCTAAATCCTCTTAAAAAAAAAAACCAATCCTTCTCCCTGTTTTTTTATCAAGATCCTTGAAATCCTGGAAAGCTTCAAACACTTGGGGATGTCCTTTAGGGTGGGCAGAGACACCCCCCAAGCTCCACCAGCTGCTCAGTTTGACCCTTGGGTGCCCCCCACGAGCCCCTGGAGATCCATCAGCCCCATTTTGGGGTGGCTGCCCCAGCAAGGGGTGTGGGAGGAGCAGGAGGGCGGCTCTTACTGGGCCTTACTGGTGTGTACTGGTGTGTACTGGTGTGCCCAGCTGGCCCTGTTGAGGGAACTGTGCCAGGAGCTCCAGCGGCGCGGCCTGGCCGGGCTGGGGTGGCAGCCGGGGACGAGTCACAGCTCTGGGGACAATCATGTGGTGAGTGATGTCATCTGCCACCCTCGGGGACAGGCAGACCCCCCAGGGACGGGAAGGGGGTGTTGGAGGTGTTGGGGTCACCTCTATCATCAGGAGGGTCCAGGGGATGGTGGCGCTTGGAGATGGAGCTGCTCCAACCCGACCCCCCTGCAAGGGGCTGGGACACCAACCCGGCCTTGGACACTCCCAGGGATCCAGGGGCAGCCACAGCTTCTCTGGGAATTCCAGTCCAGCCCCTCCCCACCCTTCCCAATCTCCCATCTGTCCCTGCCCTCTGGCACTGGGAAGCCATTCCCAGTGTCCTGTCCCTCCATGCCCAGTCCCAAATCCCTCTCCAGCTCTTCTGGAGCCCCTTTAGGCCCTGCAAGGGGCTCTGTGGCCCCATTTGGAACTGGGATTTGGGGTTGGGCTGTGCCAGGAGCATCCAGAGCTTTGTTTTCCCTCCTGGATGCTCCATTTCCCTTGGCTGGGAATGGTTGAGCTGGAGAGAGACCTGGAAGCACCGAGGATGGAACCTGGAAAATCCATTCCAGCCCTTCCCAAGATCCCACCTAAACCTCTCCCCTTTCAGTTTAACCCACTTGGGGCGGTTTTGCTGGAAGACACTCCTGGTTGGCACCAGGATTTGGGATCTTCAGCTCCAGGGCGGGTGGGGCTGCAAAACACCCCGTTTTTCCACGGGAATGAAGGAATTTGGTGGTTTCTTTGTGGCCTTGCAGGATCTCCCGGTGCTGGATCCTTCTCCTGGTGTCCTGGCCAGCCCTGAGGGGACAGGAGAAGGCCAGAGCCTGGAGCTGGAGTCTCTGGAATCACCAGGATCTGGAGGACTCCCCAGGGTGAGGAACAGATGAAGGTTTGGGGTCCCCCCCAGTTCAGGGAGACACTGATGGAAGGGAAGGGAGCTGGGAAGAATCTGGAGAACTCCTGAAGGAGCTGGGGGGGCTCATCCTGGAGAAAAGGAGGCTCAGGGGGGACCTTCTGGCTCTGCAAGTCCCTGCCAGGAGGGGGGAGCCGGGGGGGGTTGGGCTCTGCTCCCAGGGAACAGGGACAGGACAAGGGGAAACGGCCTCAAGCTGTGCCAGGGGAAGTTCAAATTGGATTTTAGGGAAAAAATCCTGGCCGTGGCACTCAGTGCTCTGGGCTGGGGGACAAGGTGGGGATGGGGCACAGGGGGGATTCCATGGGCTGGGAGGGTTTTTCCAGCCTCAGGGATTCTGGGAATTGTCTCTGCTGCCCCTGGCAGGGAAGGAGCTGATGCTGCTGTCAGGATTGATTGAGATTGTCCAGCAGAGGAGTCCATGGTGGGACTACCAAGAGCTCCAGCAGCGCTCAGGGACGGGGTGGGATCATTGGGGGTCCCTTCCAACTGGGGATATTCCAGGATTCCAGACTAATTCCCAAGGATAATCAACTCACCTGCAATTGCAGTGAAGATAATCAAGTCCCCTGCAGTTGTGATTAACAGCTCATTTTTCTGGGAATTGGGAATTTATTGGCCTTGTTAAAGCTTCATCTCCCTGCTGGAACCCAGTTCCAGGATGGTCCAGGAGTGCCATCAGAGGGCTGTATCCCAGAGATCCAGGAGGATTTCCATGGATCTCCATCCAGGAGGATCTTCATGGATCTTAACCCGTCCCTTCCCTCCAGGCCTGACGAGAGATATCCCAAAAAACAGCCCCTGGAGCTCCTGGGGAAAGGAATTTTCTCATCCTCTTTTTTAGGGCATCCAAGCCCTCCAAGAAACCTTTGGAGGTCCCTGGTGGGAGATGTTGTGTCTCCAAGTGGAGATCAAGAGCTTGTGGGATATTTGGGAGCCAGGGGATGTTTGGAGGCACCTCCTGATGATTCATCTCCCTCCTCCCACTATCCCAGGTTATTCCAAACCCCATCCAGCCTGGCCTGGGACAACTTCCAAGGAGGAGACCTTTTAAACCTTTCCACAACCCAACAGATGGGTTAGAAATGTGTTAAAAATTCCATCCCCTCCTGACAAAACATTTCAATTCCAGATTCACAGGTTAATTAAGCAGGTGGTTGATACGTAGACTCCAGAAATCTCATTTTTAAAGGGATTTGGGAAAGGAAAAAGGGAAGGCAGTAATTTCACCTTGGTCTCCACAGGGTCCTCCTGCAGGTGGTTCTGACCCCCCTGGGTACCATTTCCCAGGAAACCCTCCGGAATCCTTGGAGAAAACACTCAGGGAAAGGGAGAGGGACTCAGGAGGGACAAACTCCTCCATCCTCAGGGTAAGTAAATCCCTGGCCAGGGACTTGGAATTCCTCTTCCATTTTGTGCTGATTTGTTGGGAAGCAAAGGAGTTGTGTGGGAATTTTGCCGCAAATTTGGTTGGGATTTCTGATTTTCCTGCTGGAGCTGGGGAAGGGATGAGGATCTGTCTGCTTGGATCAGTGTCAGAGCTTGGGAATGGCCCCTCTGCTCTGGGAATCAATGGAATTGTGGTGTCACTTGTCACCCTCTGCAGGGCTCGGCTGTGCTCCCGACATTCCCGGAGGAGGAGCTGCCAGGAAACCACTCCATGGAGATTCCTGAGGACTGGGAGGAGCCACAGCTGGACACCAACCAGGTGTGTGACCCCTCGAAGTCCTGGGCAGTGTGGAGATGTGGGAGGGACTGGGATGGATGTTGGATCCTGGGGGAGCTTCCAACACATCCCTGGAGGACCCCAGGGCTCAGTGATGGAATGATTGGGATGGATCTGAGCCCAACAATCCCTGGAGGACACCAGGGCTCAGACATGGAGGGACAGGGATGGACACCGAGCCATTGGTATTTATATTATGAATATATTTTAATAGAAAGACCTAATAAATAAATGATGGTGTAAATGCTAATTAATAATAATGTCGATTTAATGTTAATAATGTTAAGATTGATAATATGACAGTAACTAGGCAATAAAAATAAATATTAAAGATATATATTTATGATTACAATACATCATTAATATATAAATATATATGTATTATATACAATCTATATAATATAAAAATATAATAAATAAAATATATGTTATACTAAAAATACATGTATAAAATTATTTTTAGAAACATTTTTATATTTTATATGTATTTATAGTACATTTTAATAGAAATACATAATAAATAAGTAAATGATAGGATAAATCCTAATGAATAATAATGTTGGGCTAATGGTAATTTGACATTAATTATACAAACACTTTTATCTCATGAATACATTTTAATAGAAATACATAAATAAATAACTGAATCATACATAATGTTAAGATATGGTTGGTAATAATTAATATGTTATTAGTAATTATTTAATATTAATTTCATATTATTAGTCAATATTAATTAATATAATTAATATTAATAATGCTTTTATAATACTAATGTTGATAAT